TAATATACAAAATCGGTAGAGCCGGCCCTGTAGTGTATGGTGGAATGCCACCATATGGTCTGCTTGGCTATTGGTCGTTCTTCTTTCTTCTGTGCTGTTCTTGTATTTTTGAGCCGGGGTGTTAGTGCGCTGCTGGAACCTGTCCTTGTTGGTGAACTATTTATTTTGTTGTTAAATTATTTTTTATACCGTTTATTATTATTTAATTTGTGTCTTTGCGTTCTTACTTTTTTTCCAAATTTAATTTAAAACCAAGTTAATACTAATTAGATTAAGCCGGCCCTGTGGTGTATCGAATTAAAATTTGAAATACGGCCCTAGTGTCAGCCGTGTAACGTATGCTTTAATACATGGTTTATTTACTTTATTTACGTGGGCGATTTGTTTATTTACATTCGATATCTTTTAGCTTTGCTTTGTGGCTGAGCTGTAAGTTGCGTATATTATATAATGTATATAATACAATAATATAATATTGTGATGTTCTTATGTTAGCAATAAACCAAATATATTGCACACGCCAATCACAAATAGTTTAATTCTACATGATTAGTTTCGACTGGTACAAATATTACCATAAGACTAATTACTTGCTCGGCAGATAACCACCAGACCCCTAAGTCTAGTGCTTGCTTAAGTAAATAAACGTGTCGAATGTTTCATAAACAATAATAGTCAGTAGATTTCACGGGCCACACATTAGAGTGCATTCCTGTGAACTAATATTTTAATACTTATTACCAAGAACAATTATTTCTAACATTTTTGGTTTTTTTTTACACACGTACGCTGTTTTCGGCAATGATTAATTGTTGCCAGGTTTTTTTTACAGATTTGCGTATTAGGTCATGCAATAATACTTATCAGAGTCTGCTGGTGATGACTTGTTTTTTCTTTAAATAGGTGATTCCTTGACCTGTCCCCTGTCACTTTATTATTTCGTGTCCGCACGAACCTCACTCCTATGTTCACCGTTGAGAGATTGCCTTTTGAGGAATTATTTAATGTTTCTATTAACCCCTCGGAGAACAGGTACCCTGATTTCACCTGTACAGGTATGTAGTAACCCAAAATCCTAGCACTGTTTCGCACTGTTTCGCACCGTACTTTACTCGACTACACTGTATATAATAATTATGTTTCTTTAAGAATTTTATTGTGGATCGGCACAGCGCTCAAACTACACATCCATTCGCTTCGCCGGTATCGATAAGACTGTAAATGTTTGTTTTACTCTTTACATATAAATTTAACCGTTTTGCCGTAAAATAACCTATGGCACTAAAACACTTTTAAATTACACATTTTATTGCATTATTAAAAATAAGCTTTTTATGGAAAATTAAATTTCTTACAAAAATCGTATTAACTTTTACCTGTAACTTTAACCGTTTTGCCGTAAAATACAAAATGGTAGGTTTTATCAAACCGTGCTAGCTTTGTCCAGCTATGCGCCAATATTTTAGAAACAAAAGGTTTTCTACTTTACGCCAGTAGTAGGCAACCAATATTGCAAAGACTGAAATGCCTTCCATGCAGTATTTGCAATATTGGTCGCATACTACTGGCGTAAAGTAGAAAACCTATTGTTTCTGAAATATTTCTGCATAGCTGGTCAAAGCTAGTTCGACTCTTTTGGGCCGCGTAGGGTTTGATAAAACCTACCACTGTTTGTGTCTAAGTTCATTGTGATTGCACGCCTCACAGCGAGGCCACGTCTTTAGACGGTAGATGTCCCAGACTGACTTGCAGATACATCTTGCCGCTGTCCTGGTCACTTATTTCTTTATAAGTGAACAGTGCCGAGCTTGAGGCGTGTCTCCCGTCACCGACTGCCTGTCACTGATGAGACCCAACATGTCGAAACAGTGTTGGTGGGTATGGTGCATTAGTCATTGGACCATACCATTCAGAAGACGCGCTTCGAGCCCGGCTCGGTAGCGAGATGGAAGGCATTTCAGTCTTTGCAATATATATATATATATATATATATATATATACTGACTTCCAAAAAAAGTGGCGCACTACATTATTTTCAATTTATACATAAAGTATTTAAAGTAAGACAGTTTTTCCTTTAAAAATTCAAATTAAACATATTAAAGGATAAAATTTAATATTATTAAAAAAATAACAAAATAAACCACATAAAAAATCGAAAATACCATCAACATTTTTGGATGAAATTCCTGACTCAAAACATAAAAAACTTGTGTTTTAATTCTTATTAATACCGTGCACGCGTGTGTTGACCCCTTGGGCTTAAATCAAAGCAGCAATTAGTCTACGCATACTTTGAATAAGATTATCAAGATTCTCCCATTCTTCTTGTAGTACATTACGAAGTCCTTCAGAGTCTCTGGACGAACAGGTCGAGCTTTAAGTCGTCTCTCTAATTGATTCCATACATGCTTAATCGGATTCATGTCTGGGCTCATAGCAGAGCATATTAAACGCTCAATTCCGACTTCCTCCAATTAATCAAGTACGCACCTTGCCACGTGGCCTTGCATTATCCATCATGAACAAAAAATTTGAACCAATAAGGGGGCAAACGAAACATAATCTTCAAGAATGTCTCTAATGTAAGAATTTGCATTTAAAGAACGTTTTCAAAGAATAAAAAGATGTTTTTGCGTCTAATGAAATGCCAGCCCAAACCATTACTGAACCACCCCACGCCTCCAATTATTTTCATTTCAACCTTGGTGAGTTTGGGAAAATTGAAGTCGCTGTTGTCTGTGCCGCAACGTAAGTCTAGGTACCCGAGCAGGTCTTTTTGACTTTTTGACCTGCAATTGTCATTTAACTGTTTGAGCACTTACAACTCTTTGTATTGCACCTAAAAGTCTTTGAGCGAGCTCAACAGCTGTTTGGTGAGGGTCTCGTAAACTTTGTAGAAGCAAAAACCGATCGTCTCTTGCCGATTCATGACGCCGGGTCATCATGTTTGTGTGACGGTATCTCTGGAGTGCCATTCGAATTGTAGCTTCTGGTTTATTCAACGCACGAGCGGCATATCGCACGCCCCGCCCATCTTCCACTAACGCTTCTGCTTTTGTAACTTCTTCGGATTTAATTTGCATTTAAAAGTGTCTAAGTTCAAAATTAAGTGCCGCGTTTAATCTAAAATGAATAATTAAAAAAAAATTAAACACTGTAATTTTTTTTATTACCTCAAAGCTTGAATGTAATTTTATAGGACTAACGTCAAAAATTGACGTTGAAATTATGCAAATAAAACAAACCATAAACAAATTTCAAATATAAAGCAAAAAAATTCAAGTGCGCCACTTTTTATGGAAGTCAGTGTATTTTAGGGTGTCCGTTATTTCCCCAGTCGACTTTATTTATTTCGTTATCATCAAAATTATTTGTTAACAGTCTAAAAACAATTTTTTCTACTTTTTATAATATAATAAAAAAAGCATAGCTCGCACATAAATATACATAAAACAATATACAGGAAATACTTTTGTGGTAAATTTTACTCTGTACGTTTTTTTCGTAAAACCATCCATTTAAATGTTGGACTCAATAATATACCTATATGTACATCATGATGCAACAATGTATGACCGTTATTTCCCAAAATGATTTTTTTTATCGTAACGCCCCCTAAATCATAAGTTTATACCCATAAACTAAGACCAAAAAAAATCGATTCGTTTAAATGGTGCCACTTTACTTCTCTCATTAATTTTTAATATACAATGTCAATGCCAGTGATTGATTTATACAATTTCTAATAAAACCTTAGGTACGGGTTACTTTAACAGCAGCAGTAGGTTGGTTTAGTGACATGAATGAGTAGGGTCAGGAACTATACCTAGTGATCAATATTCTACACATTAATTATTATCATAAATTAAAAATAAATGGATTAGTCTTCTGCGCATCAATGTTTACCGTTTTTTTTCTCCGTGTAGAATTGTATATTCTGAACGGAATACATCATATTCCGCTCGAGTAAAATTTTGTCACACGAGCCGAAGTTTGGCGGTTCACGAGAGCGGACTATGCAATTTCAAACGTGTTTAAGACGCCCTTGTGAAAAAAGTAAAAATAAGAATTTTATAGCAATAAATTAACTTTGATTTTAAGAACATTTAAAAGTAAATTTAAATGGAAAAAAATAAAAAATAATTTTATTAATATTTTGTTGTAGAAAAATTGTATTTTTAACAGTACAAGTTAATATTTTTAACGCATTTGCACACAAAAATATGCCCCAAGAAGACAATATTTTAGATTTGGAAATACGAAAAATAAAATAAGAATAATATTTACTAGATTAGTACCTTCATTAAAAATATTTGTAAAAAAGTAAATAAGACATAAGGTGGGATTATTAGCAGGTGCCTATGGACCGCAATAACGTAGGCTTTTAATATTTTAAAACGTGGTAAATAGAGGGCAAAAATGAAATGTAAAATCAAAACAAAGCGGGCTTTGTTGATGAGATATAATAAGTTAAAAAGCAATAGTTAGTTTTTTATTTATCTTACTATTTAAAACTGTTATTGGTAAATACAAGTATTGTAAAGTCAAATATAACAAATGTTTAAAAAGCCCATTATGTTCGTTAATGCACGCCTGGTAACTCGAAACTAGTGAAGTGTAATCTTGTGCAAAATTGACCTGAATATATTCACAGTTAACAGTTTGACCCAACTCTACTTGACTCTGGTATTAATATGCTTAGCATAAAATAATTGTTTTAAATAACGAATTGTTTGGACCTTTACTTGATAAAACTGCATATTACACTATGTAAATAAAAAAACATGTTTAAAATGTTTAAAGGTTTCACAAGATTTATTTTAGATTTGACAACTGTTTCGCTATATTTTAAAGAAACTATAGCAAAACAATTGTTAAATTTAAAATAAATCACGTGAAACTTTCAAACATAGTTTTTTAATATTTACATAATGTAATGTTATTTTACGGGTTGCTTTGTATTAAATATACGCGGGAGTTGGGTTTAAAAAACTCACCGTGATCACTTTTATAGTTGGCAAAATCCTTATCCATTTCAATGGCTTCACTTAATGGTTCGTTATAAAAATCTGAGAATGGCAAATATGGCTTTCTACAGTCCAAAATATTAATTCCTAATTCTGTTGCCAAGGGATCAGATGAGGTATTTAGTTTAATAGCCAAGTAGGAATCATCCATAGATGAATTTATATCTTCGATGTTTCTTAATTCTGACGACTCAAGTACTCCGGCCAACATATTTGCATAATATAATATCTGAAAAATAATAAAGCCTAAATTTTTTCCAATTCTACTTCAAGGATTTAAATAAACATGACATATTTTATATAATTATTTTAATTATATTATATTATGTATTATGTATGTATGTATTAAGTTTTATTAGGCACGAGCAAGGTTTGCGAGCGAGTGTTTAATAAAAAATAGTGTCTAAAGAAGTTTATAAAATGAGTTGCATGCTATACTTTATCTATGACGAGCAGAAATAAAAAATTTAAGCAAATTATAATTCATAAATATTGGACATTTTTCAAATTTATAAAGATAGATTAACAAAAACAGAATAGGTCATCGCAAAAAGGCGGTTGCCACTGCGCGCGGCGCTAAACAATAACGAATGTATGATTAGTTAAATTTAAAACGTAAACATTTTAAATCTAATTTAGTTGACTATTTCATAAGCTAATAAATTCATGCATTCTACAAGCCGCAGTTTTCTACATCAGTATTTAAATCAATTTCTCAAATTTTTTGGAATATTGTGAAGTGATAATTCTGTGTTTAGGGATTGCAATCCGGCACCAATTTCAATCCGGTCGGATTTCTGTCGATCCGGGTGGATCCGGTCGGATTTCAGTCGATCCGGGCGGATCAGTCCAAATTAGTAATTCAATGTACGTAATTCAATTTAATTATTAACTTAATGTGCTATATCTAGTATGGGTTATTTGTGCTATTTCTGTGAAAGGAAATCAAATAAAAAAAAGGAATTTTCTTACTTAAGTATAGATACAAACTAACAATTAATAACTATTTTAGAAAAGTTTTTTTTAAATATTTATAACAAAAAATAAAAAAAATTTTGGTAGTAGGTTTAGGCGAAAAATAAGTACAAAACTGAACGCGGCGTACTCAGAATGGGTACAAACTTAATTTCATTTCATAATAACTAATCCAGACAAGATTAAAACGGTCATTCAATACAAAAAATTAGGATCTTTCAAAAACGCGGTCCGCTAATTTATTGACATAAAACATATTTGTACAACTTATTAAAAGTTTGTATAAAAAATAATAAAAAGTAAATTATGTGTTACCCGGGCAACAATCGTGATTTCCTGGTGAAGTCATGATGATATAAGTATAAAAAAAATGGCGAGCTTATGTGGATCGAGAACGAAAACAACTCGAAATACCTATGCATTAAACTGTACAAAATGTGAAAAATGGTTCCATATGGAGTGTGGAGGGCTCACAAAAGATGGGCTAAAAAAAATTGAGGCTGAACTGAAGAAACCAGACGGCAAACGCTGGAAATGTGCTGGATGCTCGGAAAGTGAGGTTAAATGTTGTTCACAAAAGCAACAGAGCAAAAGTGTGGTTATGGATAAGCATGATTTCACTGAAATACTAGAAGTCCAGCTCTTAAAATTAAAAGAAGACCTAGAAAAGAGCTATAAAACAGAATTAAATGAATTAAAACATTCAGTAGAATTTATGTCAGAATGTTTTGAAGAACAAAAATCTGAAACGACCAAAGCATTTCAACTGTTAAAAGCTGTTCAAGAAGACAATAAACAATTAAAGAAGAAAGTTTACTATTTAGAAGATCGACTAAACACTATAGAGCAAAAGTCTAAAGAAAATAACCTGATTATATCTGGCATCGTAAAACAAGAAATCCAAACCACCGAAATAGTAACTAAAATAATGGAAACAATGGAAATAAATGTAGAAATGGGAGACATAAAGTGCAATAGAATAAATAAAAAAGAAGATTCTCCAATATTAGTTCAATTTCCCAACAAAATTTATAAGATGGAAGTATTAAAAAAAAGAAAGGAACTGAAAACTATCAGGTCCGATCAATGTGGCCTAAAGGGAGAGAAGCAAATATACTTCAATGATGACCTCATACTATATTACCAAAACCTTTTTAAGAAGGCCAGAGAGTTGAAAAAAGACAATAGACTCAAGGCAGTTTATTGTCTTTCAGGCAGAATTCACATAATTGTAAAAGAGGGAGACACTCCAAAAATTATCAGAAAAGAAGCAGATCTCTTAGAATTTTTATTAAATTAATTATATATTTAGTTAATTACATTAAAAAAAAGAAAACAAAAAATTTAAAATGGCATCGATAGAAAAACAATTGAATATTTCATACATAAATATGCAAAGTCTAAGAAACAAACTTGATGACTTAGAAAACATAATAAGGCATCACAAAAATGTTAATATTGACAGAAACTTGGCTAAATATGGAAGAAACCAAATATTACAACATTACAGGTTTCCAATCTGTCCATGATTGCAGGGATTCGAGGGGTGGTAGTGTAGCTATATATGTAAAGGAGAGTTTGGAAGAAACCAAATATTACAACAACATCATGAGCTGGCCAAATAGCTTTTAAATTAGTTAAAGGCCAAAAATTTTGAAGAAGAAATATTACAACATTACAGGTTTCCAATCTGTCCATGATTGCAGGGATTCGAGGGGTGGTAGTGTAGCTATATATGTAAAGGAGAGTTTTGATTTTAGTTTGGAAGAATTTAATTTTAGTAAATGTAATTGTATTGGAGTCAACTTTAGTTCTAAATTTCTAGTTTAAGTGCTGTACCGACCACAAACTTGTAAGGTAGATATGTTTTTAAATGAAATGGACTTGCTATTAGAAAAACAAACAAAAAGTTGCCTTATCATAGGTGATATGAATATTGACTTATTGAGTGAAAATCAAGAAACCATCAACTACAATAATGTGATTCAAGTAAATAATTTTGCAATACAAAATGAAATAAAACCTGAAAATGCTACAAGAATTGGGTGTTTCAAATCGAGTCTCCTTGACCATGTGCTTGTAAATAAAAATCTTGAATGTGATATTAGGTTAGAAAACCATTGTATTTCTGACCATAAAATCATGTTTGTAAAGCTAAAGCAGGAAGCCATACAAAAGGTAAAAAAGAACATAATAACTAAAAAAAAAGTAAATAAATCGGAATGGACCCAGAAATTAAAGGAGAAGATAGATGGACAAAATATTACAACATTTAAACAACTAAATGAAATAATAAATGAAACCAAAGAACAAAACACTAAGACAAAAAAACTTAAAATATTTAACAATAACAACTGGGTTACCTATGAACTTATTAGAGAAATCAAGACTAGACAAATTATATGTCACTTGGAAGAGAATCAAAACCACAAAAGCAGAAACTGATTTTAAAAATGCAAAAAACAAAGTTACAAACCTAACAAAAAGGTTAAAAAAAGAATGGGCTTCAAAACAGCTAAATACAGCAGGAACGGATCCAAACAAGTATTGGAAAATCCTAAACAATTTAATTTACAATAAAAATATAAATGAAAAAAACAATATAAAATGTCTAAATATTAATGAAAAATTGATTACATTGGACACTGAAATTGCTAGGACATTTAATGATTACTTTTGTAAAATTGGAAAGAAAATAGCTGAATCCATACCAGTACTACATAACCTACAATTCCAAGATCAAGAGAATCAGGAGTGCGTATATTTTTAGCCATGTACGAAAAAAGAAGTACGAAACATCATTAAGAGTATAAGGACTAATACACCAGGACATGATGGTATTAGCAGGCAAGATTTGATAGACAACTTAGACATCATCGACATATCTATAGCAAAAATTATTAACAACATATTTAAAGAAGGATATTTTCCACAAGAGCTCAAAATAGCAAAGCTTATTCCACTACACAAGGGAGGCGCTAAAAACGATGTAGGAAATTATAGGCCAATATCCATATTGCCTATTTTTTCAAAAATTTTAGAAAAAGCAATAAAAGTCCGGATGATTAAGCAAATTGATAGAACATTTCAGTTTGATAAATACCAATATGGCTTTTAAAAGAAGAGTAATACTCTATGTGCAGCAACCGATCTTCTGGAATATACATGTAGCAAACTAAATGAAAATAAATATGTTGTGATAGTTTTTGTTGACTTGCAAAAAGCATTTGATACAGTGAATACTCAGGTGTTATTAAGTAAACTATATAAAATGGGTTTTTGTGGTCCAGTCCACAAATTACTGAAGACCTACCTATGTAACCGTCTTCAATATACTGAAGTGAATACTGTTCAAAGTGAAAAAGGTACTGTTAATATAGGAGTACCACAGGGATCAGTGTTAGGACCAATTTTATATCTTTTACATGTGCATAGTCTACAATATGCAGGGCTAGAAGCCAGGTATTTTAGTTTTGCGGAGGACACTGCACTGGCATACTCAGGTACTGATTTGACTGAAATTCAAACTGTGATAAATTGTGATTTAGAACTTTATAGTAAATGGTTGGCTGTGAATAAACTAAGTGTTAATGTTAAAAAGTCTGTCTTTATGTTAATAAAACAAAAAAATAAACTTGTGTAGTGCGTGGTATTGGCCACGTCAGTACACGTATTGTACACGTATTGCTGATCGGTCAATACTGGTGCTAGGTAAGACCAAACTAGGTCACCAACAGCATAGTTGGTCCCCAGTCGTGATGTTACGATGTACTAACAATAAAGGTGTTAAAAGGTACGTGATGTATTACTGACTTTGCCCTTCAACCCAATTGGACACTACACTTGATAGCAATATTTCACTAATGTTGCATAATGATGTTTTAAATAAAGTGGATGTGTATAAATACCTTGGATTAAATATTGACTGTAGGCTCACATGGGACAATCATACAAGTGCACTAATAAAAAAGATTATACCTCTCATAGGTGTATTTTACCGTACTAGTAACCTAATAAGTGATTGTTATAAAAAACAAATATATTTTAGTTTATTATGCTCAAATATCCGGTATCTGATACCTTGTTGGGGAAATGAAGCAGGGTATTTTCTAAATAACCTACAAAGAGCTCAAAACAAGGCTTTAAAAGCACTTTTTAAGATGGACTATGGTTTAACAACGCAACAAATTTATTTAAAAACTAAACTACTAAATATTGAAAAATTATGTCAATTGGAACAGCTGAAACTTGCAT